GGCACTTTTACTTGCAACGCTTGTTCATAATTGATCTAGGTGTTATTGGTTGTGACCCTAGCATCGGCAACCGAGCTCTTAAATAATGATGCTTTTGGCTGGTAGCCTATCAAGTGATGGACAATACAAGTGGCACCGTTGGGCGCTTTTACTTGTAACGGATGTTCATGATTGATCTGGGTGTTATTGGTTGTGAACCTAGCATTGGCAACCCAGCGCTCTTGAACAATGATGCTTACTTCTCGTTGCATTCCAAGCATTCCAAGTTTGATGTTTGTCGATAGTTTGACTCAATGAGAGTTTGGTGTTGCTGGTATTGATGCCCAACGATGCACAACCCCCATCGTTGGGACAATCATAGGTTACTTTCTGCCTCCATCCGAGCATTCTGAGGTCTAAATTTTGGCAGCAGTTTGAGCCGATGGGATTCTGATGTTGCTAGCGTCGGCACCCCCAGCACTCGAACAATGATGCCTTACTTCTCGTTGCATTCTGAGCTCTGATGTCTGCTGATAGTTTGAGCCAATGAGCATTTGGTGTTGCTGGTCTTGACACCCAACGTTGCACAACACCCATTGTTGGGACAATCATAGGTTACTTTCTGCTACAATCCGAGCATTCTGAGATCTAAATTTTGGCGGTAGTTTGACTTGATGGGAGTCTGATGTTGCTAGTCCTGACGCCCAACATTGTTAACCCCATCATTGGGACAATCGTAGGTTACTTTCTACCACAATCCGAGCATTCTGAGGTCTAAATTTTGGCAGTAGTTTGAGTTAATGGGAGTATGATGTTGCTAGTTCTAACGCCCAACATTGCTAACCCTATTATAATCAAAGAAATTGTGATTTACTTTCCACGGCAATATGAGCATTTTGAGGTCTGATGTTTGACAGCCAATTTGAGTCAATAGGAGTCCAACATTGTTGGTCATGGCATCAGCGTTGCTACCCCATCGTCAAAGTAATCATAAGCCTCTGCAACGGCATTCAGAGTCCTGACGTCCAGCTTGCAAACTTCTAACTTGAACCACTATTTTCTTGGCATTGCTTGTCATGTCCCTTGTGTCGCCACCTCCATCACTAAGGTAATCATGCCCTTTCCCAGCAGCATTCAAAGGTCTGACGGTCGGCTCGCAAGCTTGTAACTTGAGCCACCATTTCCTTGACGTTGCTCCTTATGACGCTAGCGCGGGGACCCCCAATGCATTCCGACACTATGGCGTGGCCACCCCTGGCCCTTGGCAGCTTGCTAATCTAATCTCGAACAGTTCTTCTATTGTTTGTTTCCTTATGGTTGTTCTCGATCTGTTAGAGGTCCTTGCTGAAGTTTCGGGCTTGATATTGGCCCAAATGATGGTCTGTAGGGGATTTCGGTTCTCAAGGCACTGGTTTTCAAGGTTTTGGGTCTAGGGTTTGTGGTGGCTTGTTTGGAATCGTTTGGTTTTCTAAAATTCCCTCAACCAAGAATGGGTTGTCTCTACAGATGGATAACTAATAATGCATTAATTTTTTTTTTAGTCCTCTCATTTATCAGATCTAGTGGAATCCCACCCGACGCATGGGTCACTTTTGGAACACCAGTTTTTAGAGGTTTAGAAAATTTTCAAAGTTTAGAGTTAGAATATGAAACAAGTAGTGTTATTGTACTTACTACCTACACATGCATACGAATCTTTGGTAAGAAGCCATTGGAACGTTTTGAATATCATAACTAATCAAGTAAGCATGTGAAAACATTTGATATTGGTTACCACCCAAGTAAAATCAGCAGAAAGATCAACAAGATATTGGCATTATACTAGTCATGATGTGGTTCGAAGCCTCATCAAAATGTCTCTCAGGAACTGACATGCTTATGAGTTGATTGGGAGTTATTGAGGGAACATCTTACCTAAGGAAGTATAGGTAAGGATTTGTTGAAGTAATGATAAAATGTAATAGTATCTATTTAGAGTATTTTGGGAGATAACATCATCTATTTTCGATGATTTTGGGAGGTAATATTGAGGCCATGTCTCCATGAAAATAATAGCTCCCACTATTGTACTAGAACATAGAGTCCTCAAAGGCCTGATACTTGGCCAGCAAAAGGAACTCAAATGCAGTTATTAAAAAAAAAAAGCAAATGAATATGACTAGGATGATATATTACATAGCCGAGGCAAGTAAGGAGCAGATTATGAGTATAAATTTCAAAGCTATTAGGATCTTTCTAAGAGAAGTAATTCTATATAATTACGGCCCCATAAATTTGGGTTTTTCTCCTACAAATCCTTATGAATTTTTTGTAAGAAGCCATTGGAAGGTTTTGAATATTATGACTAGTCAAATAAGCATATGAAAACATTTCATATGGTTAACACCGAAGTAAAATTAGAGATTGAGGAATATACGAAATGTCATAGTAGATGCCAAGAGTCAAGGAATCAGCAGAAAGGTCAACAAGATCAATGTGACATTGTACTAGTCATGATGTTGTTTAAAGCCTCATCAAAATGTGTCTCAGGAACTGACATGCCTATGAGTTGATTGGGAATTATTGAGGGAACATCTTACCTAAGGAGATATAGATTGTTGAAGTAAGGAGATATAGATTGTTGAAGTAACGATCAAATGCAGCATCATCTAGTTTGGGTGATTTTGAGATATAACATCATCTATTTTTGATGATTTTGGGAGGTAATATTGATACCATGTCTCCATGAAAAGAATATCGTTTTTCTTGCCAGAGCATAGTCCTCAAAGGCCTGATAATTGGCCTGCAAAAGGAACTCAATGCAGCTATAAAAAAAACCTGAATGAAAATCAGTAGGATGATATATTACAAAGCTGAGGCAAGTAAGGAGCAAGATGGTTATGAGTTAGCGAGGGCTCAAATACAAATTTGGAGGCTATTAGGAGCTTTCTAAGGTAAGTAATTCTATATGATTGCAGCCCCATGAATTTCAATATTTTTCTCTTCTCTCAGTCCTGATTTTTTCTTTGTGGCATGCTTTTGAATGCATTGATATGCCATTGTTTACAAAGAGAACACTGCAACAGGAAAGGAGGACATTCTGACCAGTGGACGAAAGCTGCTTATGCCCCTTCTTAAGATGCTCATGCCCCATCTACTTATGACCAACCCAAATCATTAAAAGTTAGTGAGTGGACAATAGTAGAGCAGTCTCCAATGTATGAGCCTTGTCTTGGATGAACTTTGTAGTTAAAGAAGAGTGAGAGCTTAAGTAAGCATAACAGGGATATATTACGTGTTGCTCTTAAGTAAGCAGAGATTCTAAATATCAAAATATTATATAGCACAAAATTGGAAATAAGAATATTCTGGATAATGGCTAATGTTATTTGTAACGAGTCATTAGTAGGACATGACAAAACTAAACAGCATACATGTGACATAAAACTAATCATAGAAAATGAATTTCTGAGAATATTGCCTCTCAAGTTACCTGTCAAGTTTATATTGTCTCTCAAGTTCAGACTATCTTTCAAGTTTTAGACCATTAAAAGGCACGTCCCATATTATTAAGAAATCAGAAAGTTAAACTTGTATAAAATATAAAGACAACTATCCTCAAAAAAAAATATATATGAAGAAAACCACAATTTTAAGTCTATTCCCTTCCATAAATGCGAGACAAGTGACGTATCTCCCTGGAAATATTTTCTAATCCTGCTAGGTCTCCCTATATAAGATTAAGCTTTCCACTGTTAATATGCTCCTCCTTGCCTAATGAGGCTTCTTTTACATTGACAGCTATGAAAATATGGATTGATAATGGCTGTATTCGCATACAAGCATATTTTAATCATGCATCTTTTCTTAAAGAGCACGAAAACCAAAAGTTAACATAAAGTAACACATTCCTTGTTTTATAATGCTTAGTAGGGAAACATATACTATGTAAACAATACTTAACCTATTGTGTTTGTTCAGTAAAATTTTAGCAGGACGCCTTTTTGCTGACCCTTGTTCCAAAGAGTTATTAATCTCATTTGCACTATAGACAAGCTCTTCCTCGAAGCCTCTCTCACTACAGCACCGCCCTTTCCATCCTCCATAAGAGAAATCAACTTTCTTGATTTATCTTCAAGAAATTTAGGATACTAGTCGGATGCTAATAAATCAGTTATTTCTTCATCATAAAGCTCCAAGAAGGTTATTTTCATACTATAATCAGCCCTTCTGTTCTTCTAAACCTTCAACAACTTCATTAACGATGGAAGTTATGGCATGATTATATATTGCTCTTTATTGAGATTTGGGGCCCAAATCCTGTCATAAATTTTGTAAAATGAGATCAATAAAACTCTGATTCCTAGGGATTTTGTGTCAGCAGAAACTCAGGATTGTAGAAACAGCACAAGCTAACAGTCCCTTTATTAGAAAGAAGCCCCCATCTTTTATAATACACCTCGATAACTTTAGGTATGCTTAGTCTAAGTTCATCATCACTTAAAGACCTACACAAATCAATAAAAGTAATTTTAGTATCCATAATCACATTCTCCTAAGACCCATATGGGAATACTTAAATTTAAGACAAAATTCATGACATTATGGCAAATAAATTTGAGGAATAATTTCTTAAAACCAGACATAAGCAATTCTAAACACTAAAGAAACAATCTAATCATTAATATTTACTTTACCAAACAGGACCAACGTCAAGAAAACCCAATTGGGAATACTTGATTTATGACAAAATTCACGACATTATAGCAAATAAATATGAGGAATAATTTCTTAAAACGAGATAAACAATTGTAAAACTAAAAAAACAATCTGATCATTAATATTTATTTTGCAATACAGGACCAACCTCAAGAAAAAATGATAAAAGATTTATGTAAAAAATAACCTACACCAACTGATTAAAATAGAGTACTGAAATATTGGAGGAAGAGAGAGACAGAGAGCTAGAAAAAGATCACTTGAGATGGGAACAACATGGAGAATTCGAATTCCTAAAGTCAGTACCATAAATGCGGACATACCTGCATCTTAACACAACCTGCACATTAACCCAAGAGTCCCCAATGTTCTTCTCTTCTCTGAACGAGGTGTAGGCAGAAACACACCCAACTTCCTCTGCTGATGACGTTGGAGTGTGTGAACTTCAATCAAATTAGAATTCACAATCTCAGAAAAAAGATTTAAAACAAGGAAACTCAACTATTTACTACTTGGATCACATTAGGGTTTTAAACATCTGCGAACTCTGAAGCATCATCCCAAGCTTCTAAATAGAAAAGAAAGAATGGAGAGAGAGAGCAGGAAGGTCATGAAAACATGGAAACAGCATTGTACCCCATGGAACCCAACTTCCTCTGTTGATAACGTTGGGGTGTGTGATCTTCAATCAAAAACATTATCAAATTTCCTGTAAATCCAATCATAATTGACCATTTCAGAAAAAGATTTAAAACAAGAAAACTCTTCTGTTTACTACTTGGATTCCATTAGGGTTTTAAATATCAACCAAGTCCTGGGCATTTCTGATTGAAAAAGAAAGAAGAGAGAGACCAGGGATGGTCAAGAAACATAGACACAAAATAGTAAAGAAAGAGATATTTCAATTTTCTGAAATGAAAAACCGTGACATCCATTCTACAAAGAAATCAGAGAAACATACCTAGAAGCCTAGATGGGCGATCAAAAACTGGAAGAAATGAAGAGAGATAGAGAAAGAGATGCTTACTTTTAGAAGCAGTCGCTCTCTCTCACAATACGCAGGTGCCAACACTCAGAGCAAGCGGGGTGAATGGGTGTTCAGGTGCCAAAACTTGGAGCAAGAGGGGTATATGGGTGTTTATGGCTTCAATTTTAAAAATGGGGACAGAGGGTTTTTTAATGGCCAGAATTTTGGGTCTTCCCGACCGTTGGGGAGACGATGAAATCATGGGAGATTCAAATGGATTTTTGTCTCGCTAAGGCCTAGGCTTTATAAAAACAAAATAAAGAGTCACCTTAAATCTTCATCTTGAAAGCAATTTCGGCATCGGAAATCTTCATGATGGCTCTCGGATTAATTTCCAACATCAAAAAATTTAAAACACATAAAATAGTACAGATCTGGAGGATCTATGAAAATTTATTTTTAAAATCAAATGGATGGTCTAGATGATTTGTTGCAATATACGCTATTTTTAAAATTTGAAATCGTAAGTGTTTTTACACAGCCATAATGTTTAACCTGAGATGATCGACTTCAAGGTTTTTCAATACTTGAATTGCCCTTTTTTATGAGTTATGAGTTGAGGTTTTATTTAATTTTATAAGGTTGCAGCTCTATCAAACCATTTCCAACTTCAAATGCCCTAAATTATGTCACCGCAACGTCATTTTGTTTTCACTTTCATGTCATTCACATGAACCTCCTATGAGAAAATAGGGACAATACACTACGTAATGAATAAACAAAGTAAGAATAAAAATAAAAAAATTAGTCAAATAATTAAAATATTAGAATTTTAAAATCTTTTTTCATTATTATAAAGACAATATAATTTATTGGGTGAGGTTTGTATAGAGCCCAGGCACTAAACAATGAAAGTAAAGCGCATCTTCAAATAGTGCCAAGAAATATGGTTTTAATATATGTTTCTGATAGCTTGAAAATATTTTTTTTTTAATTAAAAAATTTAAAGCTTCAAAAATAGTGTAGATCGAGCAAATTTATGAAAACTTGAAAATCTTAAAAATTGACAATTTAAAAATACGTTACGAGGTGCATTATTTCCAAAACTTGAAATCTATTTTTTTCACATGTCCATGCATCTTGATGTCAAAATGATCAATTTGAGGATGTTCTTCTAGTGAAATTTTTGAGGTACGCTCTAATTTGATTGTTTAGAGCCTCGCTTCTATATAAACATTTTCCACAAGGATTTGAAAATTTGTAATCAAAATTTATTGTACGCAATAAAACTAAAAATTGGATACATATAATTTCCAAAGCACAAGGAATTATTGAAAATATAAAGTTATTTAGGTAATAAAAAAGATAAAACTCTATTACCTATTTTTTGAGAAAAATTTGTCAAGCATTTAGGAATTCATTATAAGAATTTGAAAATTGGTAAAAAATTGTTTTCAAAGTATTAAAATTTTGTAGAAAAGCTGCTTTGTTATAATTTTAAAGGGAAAAAGTAACAAAGGGAAAAAGTTTATATAAGGTTGCAACCTTAAAATGTAGAATTAAAGATACACCTCAAAGTCTATCGAAAAAAAAGTGATGTATATCCATATGATCCTAAGATATCCATATCCTAACACTCCCCCTCAAACTCAAGATGTTTTCATACAAAGCAGCTAAAGTTTGAACAATACTAAGTTACCAAAAACAAGTAGTGATCTTCAGATTGCTTGAACAACAAAAACAAGCAGTGATCTTCAGATTGCTTGAACACCAAAAACGAGCAGTGATCTTCATATTAATCAAATTGTTTAAATAACAAGCACAGATTACAGTGGCAGATCAACAACAGAGGGCCTCAGGGACTACAGACGACCTCAAGAACATCGGGGATCGAGTAACGGAAAACTTGATCAATAGATATGATCAAATAACAGAAAGAAATTCGATCATCTCACAAGATAGAGCAACAAAAAACTCCATCATCCAACAAGATTGAGTAACGAAAAACTCAATCATTAAACATAGACATTAATGCAGAAATGATCAATTAAACTCGATCATCATACAAGATGAAGTAACAACAAATTTCATCATCAATTGATTAAATAACGGAAAACTTGATCATCAATCAGGATCGAAAAATTCGATCATCAAACAAAAGGCACTTGGAAGAACCAACAGAAATTAAAGGTATCAATCCAAAACCTTGGAAGAGCCAACAGAAATCAAAAGCGTCAATCTGAAACCTTTGAAACACTGCCATCCTCTTTTTCTCTCTCTATTCTCCCTCTTTCCCTCCTTTATGGCTATAGGTAGGAGCTCTGCTGGTGCCCTTTATTTTCTTTTTTTAAAAAATAAAATTCCCGTATTACTTTTTTTTTTTTAATCAAAACCAGTGTTTTAAAAAACGCCGAGTCGAACCGGACTCGCCCGGTTCGACTCGGAAATCGCAAAAAGTGGATCGTATCGGTTAAAAAATCGGAAATCGTCCGGTTCTAGAGAGAACCGGACGATTCTGTACATTGACTCGTCGATTCACTGTACGGAATCGGCGAGTCCCGTACGGTAATTTTTTTTTTTTTTTTTTTTTGTGTAATCCATGATAGATTTTTTTGTAATACTTGATCGATTTTTTTGTAATCCATGATCGAATTGTTTTTG